ATATATTCACAAAAATATTGTATTAATATATAATACTTGAGGGTATTTTTGTAAAATAAAATTCTCCATTAACGTCGTAAGCAGACAATCTCGAACAAATGGTGTCCGTGAAGTTTCAAGTAATATAAGAGGTATGATTGAAGATAAGCCTAACTACATGGAGTGTGGATGAAATTTTCCTAAAAAAAACTTTGCAATTGGGTTTAATCGGGACATGATGCATTGTAATTATTACATTAATAGTGCATACCAGCATTAGATGAGATTAATTACCAATCGAGACATTGTTTAAATAGAGGTTGATATTATTATGACTCGGTCAAGTCGTAACTCGGTCGGTATCTTATGTTTTGACATATTTCTGCATTTTATGTAAATCACGATTCGCACGTAAATCGATCATATCTTTTGAGACATTTTTGATGCAATTCCAAGTCATTTGAGTAATTACTATCGAAGTAGCCGATAATATTTTGTGATATTCAGCTTATTTTTCTTAGCGAATATTTGCAATATCACGACCGGTACACCTCAATCTCCTATGTGCCAATGATGACGACACCTTAATCCTGAACAATGAATCCTATAAGTAGAAAATATTTTGTATTTATAAGACATCACGTGGCAGTGCAATGTGGTACTCATGTGTGAGGAGCACCGAATATTTTTCTCATTCTATTATGGTATTCATCGGATCAGAATCACAAATGGTTGCTGTCAACTAAATGTGAAAATGTACATAAAATGGAACCCCACTGAAATAATCCCGGTTGTCACCTGCTGTGCATGTGCGTGCGGGACAGGTGGCTGAATAGGGACTAGGCCTAGTTGTTTATGTCTATAACATAGATAATTAATTTGAGAAATCACGAGATTTAAGGGTGTCAATTTTATTCATTAATATGAATATGAATCGATATAAAATTTAAAAAGAATACGTAGGGCCGGCCTGACATGAACCAAGGTCCTATGCTAGAATTTAAAAATGGATCATTGACAATTTAATGTAAAATTTGACTTATTAGGTCTTTTCTATTTTCATCTCTTTTTTTTTTACTCTTTATATCAAGAATTATTATTTTTTAGTAGTCAAATCTAAAATTAAAAAAATAATTCTTCATAAATTAAATATTTAATGCTACAAATGATTAAACTGTATAAGAATTTTTATTTTATGAAGTTTTAAACATTAATATAAATGAATAATGAGAAGGTGTAACTTTTAATTGTAAATGATCTTTTTTTCTCTGTAAAAAGTTGTTTTGAATTTAATTGAATAAATGACTCATTTTCTACGTTTGTTTTGAAAATTAATTTCACATCTCTTCAATGGGCTTTTTATAAGTTAAATATTATGGGCTTTTATTTGATAATTGGGGGCCTTTATAATGGTGAGAGCCCTAGGCGGCCGCTTCAATGGTCTTACCTTACAGCCCTGCTAACATGATTAACTGACACGAACAATAAATAGATCAAATTAAAACTAGATGAATAGCACGATTAACGTATAGATCAAATACAATACCCTTTTTTTTAAGTGTAGCATTGTTATTAAATGCGTATGGTCATGAATGTAAATGTTACAAGGTTTTATTACCAAGTAGGAAGATGTTTTGTTAGGAAGATGTTTTGTTCTTGATTACTACTAAATAATAATAGGGCTAACTGCTTTTTACCCTCAAGTGGTTTTGGCTAAAAGCACTTTAGTTTTTAAAATTATGTATATTATTTTCCTACAATTATGTAATAAAGTGAAATAATTGATGCCATTAACAGAATTAAAAAAATTATTATAATACCCATGTTTTAAAATCAGTCTTTTTGTCTGATTTTGATCATAAATCTAATGAAACATGACAATAAATCAATACATTTCAATCAAACAAGTCGAGTCTTTTTTACCCTTGAGTATGGATTTTATCCAAGGCCAAAAATCACATATATTTTTCTTACATGTTTTTTGATTTGGGATCGATGCCCTACCTGTTTTGGGTATTATATTATATATTATAAATATAAATGATATTTTAGACACGTAGACAATATTTTTTTTGAGGGAAACAATGGAAACAAAAGTCCACAACATGTTTTGGGCGTGTGGAACACAGTCGCTATTAAGTTGGATGATAAAAGTAACCATTTTATTTTGATACAAAACTATAAGAGGGTAATGTGCATAATTTTAGACGTCAAGTAAATAAGATATTTGTATCTGAAATCAAATAAAGGTAAAAATAATTAACCCCATAATAATATATTATTGTACCTATGTATATATGGATAAGTTCTCACACATAATTAAGGGAACCATTGAAAATTGACTAAAATACTAGAAACGGAGATTATCCGAGCTAATAATAAAGGCAATAGCATATTTCGGCCAAGTCCTATAAATTAATCATGCAGATATATAAGAACGAAAACAAAATTACCTTAATAATAAACTCGATCGAGCCCGTGATCTTCTTGGAAATGGGTTGTATTTTCTGTAAGTTTGGAAGCGGGCCTCCAATGATGAAAGGCTAGCCATTAATCAAAGCTTGGAACAGTGGGCCAGTATAAAACTCGATCATAAATATCGTTAAACCGAGGGCTTTTCGTTTAAAACAGAATGTTGTTTTGCCTCATATTCCAAGCCCAAATGCTCCTTCCACTTGGTCTTTCTCAACGAATATTAGGCGCGTTCAAATTTTTAATTAGTCGCAACTTTTTACCCTATTCAATCTTACCCGACTCTATTGAACGGCTAGACGAAAAAATCGGGTAAAAATATAGAAGAGTTTTTAGTCTTTCCGATTAAATCGAATAAAAATGCGTAATAGCCATTAATTTTCGTATTCCTACTCTACCTTACCCGCATTAATTTATATTTATATAATAAAGTGGCTAGCTTTGTTTGTCTTAAGTTTTTCGCGGCTTAGATCGTTTGAGGATTTGAAGATCTTAATTGGACTTTCATTCCTTCTAAAACTCTAAGACTTTTATTTCTCATATAATTCTCCTTCTCTCTATCTCATACACCCAACTCTTATATATATATATATAGAGTAGCGCGATCATAGAAGCTTTGCACCGTAGTGTCTAGTAGGTACCTTTTATGTAGACTGTTGAATCTTGATCTAATGGCTACCAAACAAAGATGCTCAAAATTCAGTATCAAAACCTGCTTAATTTAGTTCTTAATTAAATAGAAAATATCTATGAGTTAGTAATTGTGATCTAGTCTTATAAGGAAAGTCTTAAAGGTTAATAAAAAAAAAAAAAAAGTCTTCTCTTAAATATTAACGGATCGACTCATGTCATCAAACACAACATCCCATAAAACAAGTTTTAACCCATGTCATCAAACACAACAGCCACACAACCTTCTTCCTTCGTAACATTGGCACACCCCTGACATCCTAAAGAAGAGTCATTCGAACTTCATAAGGCAAACGCAAGTCCACAAAAAAATCTGCAGAATTATCGACTTTAACTGTATGATGCATGCCCTTGCCTTATACTCCAACCCTCTGCCAACTATTCTTGTCGTAAATTCATTGAATCAGGTAATTTCTTATATCATGATTCATGCCCTTTCTTTGTTGCACTTGAGCTGAGAGAATAGTTTAATCAAGTGGTCACTTAATTATTTAGTTGGTTAAATAATGGGTTGTTAAAGGCTTTGGTGAAGTAGCTTCTAGGTTAAAAGTCCAAAAGTGGTGGTATTGATGAGTTATGTTCGACAGATTGATTTAATAAGTCAGTGTGATTTTTAAATTTCAATTTAATGATTAAAGCTTTTTTTTTTTTTTTTAATTGGGGATAAAAGTGCAATATGTTCATCAAATTCCACTGTAAAGATATTATTTACCCCCATTGCTGGAATTTAGAATATTGAAACACTAGTAGTGATATTACTTGTCCAACTCTTTTTAAAGTTGGCAATCAATTACATATTTTTTTTTTGGATGTAATTTGATGTGTAGTTATATTGTATCAATTCAACAGGTTCTTAGTGCAGGTGTGGAAAATTGACATAACGACAAATATGGAAGGGATCAAAATCAAACCTTCTGTGCCTGCAGATGTGATAAGTGCGCGAAAGTGCATTTTAAATACTCTATTATTGGATTAAATTACTTAAATATGAATATAAATAATTAGATATAATTTATATTATTGAATTTAATATCTATTCACACTGAGATATAATTGAGCATGATTTTATAACATTTTAAATCTTAAATATTGCATTATTGGTTAATGAGAAATAATTTACAATTGGGCTTTACGTTTAATATTTTTGGAATTTTATGATTGGGCTTTTATATTTGTTTTTTTTATGGCAGTCCATGAAATAAAAAGACTGAAATTGATGTTGTTGTCACGTGGTCCCGGCACTTATAATTTTTATTAGACTTTATCTTTTTCAAATTACACAAAAGTTGGGCTTTGGGGCTGAAACAGAGAAGCTGAAATAAAGAGGGACTAAAGTGAAAAGGGCTAGAAAAAGAAAGGAAAGAAATGTAATTTTTAAAAGGACTTTGACTTTTAAGAAACCCTTGTTTCTTCCTTAGTGGGGGGCGGCTGAAAAGGATATAAAGAAAAGAAAAGGAGGAGGCGGTGCTGGGCAGTAGGCGGACGCAGTGGAGGATCAGAAAAAATGCCGATGTTTGCTATTTTGCTCTATTTCCTTGGGAGATTTTTGTTGTCTATCATATTTATGGGTAACTAATTTCTCAACTAATGTTGGGGATGAACTTGCACAGTAGATGTTATTTTATCAAGATGTAAAACCATTTATAATGAAAGAATTCAATTTTATTGATGAAGCATTTACTTTTTACAATGCTTATGCAAGGATTTGTGGATTTAGTGTTCGTAAAGGTACTCAACGTTTTTCAACGAAAGAATCTACTTTAATATGACGAGTCTTCTTGTGCTCTAAAGAAGGGCTCCGGGATGACAAACGTGACAAGCAAAAGAAAGCAATAACTCCCGTGGGCTGTGAAGCAAGAATGGAAGTGCGAAAAAACAAAGAATCAAGTACTTATTATGTCACAAAGTTCATCGAGGTACACCACCATGCAATGATGACACCATCTAAAGTTTATTTGCTTCGCTCACAAAAACACATGGATGAGGGGGCTAAGCGATTAATTAAGAAGTGGAGTGAATCTGGTCTAGACACACCAAATATTATGAGCATTCTCTCACATGAAGCTGGAGGAATTACTGGAATTGGATTTGATGAAGACCAATGTAGGAGCTACATTCAGAAACTAAAGAAGCAAACATATGGCAATGATGGTCAGTCTCTCATAAATTATTTCATTAGAATGCAAAAACAAAATCCTTCTTTTTATTATGACTTTCAAATCGATAGAGAAGGACACCTTTGCAATTGTATTTGGGTGGATGCACAAGCCAGAATGGATTATTCCTACTTTGGTGATGTAGTTGTTTTTGACACTACTTATAAAACTAACAAGTACTTGATGCCATTTGCTCCTTTCACTGGTGCCAATCATCGTAAGCAGTCAATTTTATTTGGCTGTGCACTACTAGTAGCTGAGACGAAAGAGTCTTTTGAGTGGTTATTTAAAACTTGGCTTAAAGCAATGAGTGGACAAACCCCAAGAACAATAATCATCAATCAAGACCCAGCTATGGGAGCAGCGATAGCTAAAATTTTTCCATAAGCACATCACAGACCATGTATGTGGCATATACTGCAAAAGGTCACAGAAAAATTGGGAGTAGTATATAGGCAATACCCTTCCTTCAAGAAAGATTTTAATGATTGTTTACATGGTACCGATACAATAGAGGAGTTTGAGTCTCTATGGAGCAACTTGTTTGAGAATTACAAACTTCAAGACTATGATTGGCTATGTTATATGTATGACATTCGTGATCGATGGGTACCTGTATTTTTCAAGGAAGTTTTCTTTGCTGGAATGTCGACAACGCAGCGTAGTGAAAGTATGAATAAATTCTTTGATGGTTATGTCCACTTACATACAACATTAAGTGAGTTCTTGAAGCAGTTTGAGAAGGCTATTGAGAATCGTTGTCAAAAGGAGAATAAACAAGAATATAAAACACTCAATGAGCAGCCTAATCTCAGAACTAGCTTTGGAATAGAGAAGCAAATTAGTGAGATTTACACAAGAAAAGTATTTAAGGAGTTCCAAGAAAAGATTTGGGCAAGTGCTGCCTATATTATCAATATAGTTTCTGAGGATGGATGTGTAAGTGTATGATGTTTCCAAGAGCAATGTTCATGAAGGTAAGATTTGGTCAATTACATATGATAAATCCAAAGAAAAAGCAATTTGTTCATGTCATAAATGGGAATTTCAAGGGATTCCTTGTAGGCATATATTTTCACTACTTTTCAGATTGTGTGTAACAAAATTTCTAGAACACTATATTTTGAAATGGTGGTCTAGGACTGCAAAAAAGGGGATGGTACATGATGGGCATGGAGTTGAAATTAGACCTGATTTACAAAAAAGTATTACTGTGCGTTTTAGCGATCTCTCTTATGTAGCCAATAAATGTATGCAAGCAGGAGCATTGTTTCACATATCATATGAATTTGCTAGAGAAAATATGCAAAAATTGTTTGCAAGTATTAGTACAATAAATGAGGAGGAAGCTTCCAAGAGTTGTACAACTGAAATAAATGTGAATGTTGATAACGAGTCTATACCGAATTGTAACACTCAAGTCATAGTGCGTGCTCCCCAAAAAAGTACATACAAAAGGAAGTGAAAAAAGAATCAAATCAAGTAAAGAAGAGCGAAAAACTAAGCAAAGGACGTGTCATAGTTGTGGTGTACTTGGTCATAACATATGCACTTGCCCTAATGCAAAGGTAGGGTAATACCACTAACCATAATGTTGTGCATGTTCTATTCTTTCATTTATTTGTTGCAATACATGTTTATATATATATTTTTTGTTTTAATTTATTGTAGGGACAATGAATACATTTGAAGATCATTTAGCATTTGAAGAAGCTCGCGCTAAAGCTGCTGAAGCCGCCTAGAAAAGGCAAGAGCAATTTGAACAGTCTGCTGGAGGAAGAGCTGCGCGTGCACAAGTTGCAGCAGCTGCAAAACAATCTGCAAACACTAACAAGGGTGAACCAGTTCTTAAGTGGCCGGTGGGATGGCCAGGCTTAGCCTTTTAAAGCTCAACTCTGGCCATTAACAAATAAATGAAAGGATTAGCCGTGATCTCTTATGTTGCGAATCTGTCTCGTTTCAAAAACAGACAGTTGGAATTTCTAGAGCAGGATACCCTCATGTTTTAGGTCTTCTCTAGATTAATTATCACTTAAGGAGAACTTGAAATGTTGTCTTATACTTGTCTTCTCTCTCTCTCTCTCTCTCATGGTGGCCAATGTTCTTTTGTTTTTTATTTTCTTTTGTTCTTTTAAATCTCTTTGGGTGATATTTGTAGATCAAAATCTGTAGCTGTTTTTTTGGCTCTAGCTTATCCCGCAATGGTAAATGTTGTTGTACATCTCAAAAAAAAAGTTGTGGTTGTAGAATCTAGCTTAAGGTGTTTTACCAAAAAAATTGTGCAAGTTTGATCATGGATGCTGTAACTTCAATGATAGTGGTTATTAACAAAACTTAATGTTCAGTTCAAAGCTATGCTACAATTTTTCCCTTTATGTTTGTTTTCGGTTGTAATGTTTCTCTATCAATAAAAGGATGGTGTCATCTGTTAGCCTGTTTGAATCTTCCAAAGACTGTTATTTATAAATTGAACTCCTTAATGGTAGTTTTATTTGGTCTAATCAATTGGATGTGAGAAGGTGGGCAATTGGGTGATTTGGTGGAATGTTTTAATGATACTTTGTACGAGGAGGTGGTAAATTCTACTGTTCAATTAACTGATTTTGATGATAAATTGATATGACAGCTTACTACTGATGGTGATTTTCTTGTTAAGTCTGCCTGGAATTGGCTTTGGAGTCAAGGGGTGATGAATGAATCTTCTATGGTTATTTGGAAGGTTGTAACTGCTCCAAGTGCTCAATTTATTGGGTGGAAACTGTTATGGAAGGCATTGTCATTGGATGATAACTTTATGAGAATAGGTGTGTCTATTGTGAGTAAGTGTTGTCTGTGTTGCCAGAGTGTGGAGAATGACAATTATTCATACTCTGTTTTTTTTTAACTGATTCGTACTCTATATGTTATGAAGATTTGTAGTATACTTAGATTTCAAATAAAGAATATTAAGCCAAGAAGGTTAGATGATGTTGTTGGTAAATATTTCTTGTCTTTTTTACAAGTGGAGTCTCATTTACAAATGATTTATCTATGTATTTGGGTGAGATGAGTGACTCCTACTTCTAGAACTATGAAATTAAACACTGATGGAATTGTAAAATAAAGTTTTCATCTATTAAAAAATTGTAAAATTGTGTTAGAATTTTTAATAGATGGGTAAAGATAAAAACCATCGGGTCATTTGGTCGATTCGTTAATATTTAAGAGAAGACTTTTTTTTTTATTAACCTTTAAGACTTTCCTTATAAGACTAGATCACAATTACTAACTCAGAGATATTTTCTATTTAATTAAGAACTAATTTAGGCAAGTTTTGATAATGAATTTTGAGCATCTTTGTTTGGTAGCCATTAGATCAAGATCCAACGGTCTATGTAAAAGGTACTTACTAGACACTACGGTGCAAAACTTCCATGATTGTGTTACTCTATATATATATATATATATAAAATTCTCTCTCATAGACTTTTTAAACACACTCTCTATACGGCTCAGATCATTTGAAGATTATTGATCCGACGATTTTATTTGGACTTTCACTCCTTTTAAAACTCTAAAACTTCTATCTCTCATATAACTCTCTTTCTTTCTCTCCCTATCTCATACACATAACTCTCATACGTGTGTGCGTATCTATATAATAATGTAGAACGAAGTTTGAATTCATAAGACAAAGAGAGGTCCAGATCGTTTTGAGACAAAATATAAACACATCCAACGAACAACGTAATCTCAACATAAAAGATGGTTCAGATTATCTCAAAAATTATGATCTAACGGTCAACAATGAATACTATATTTTTCTTTCTCACCTAACACAGGCCTCTGTCTCACACGTCTCTCTCTCTCACATCGCTCTCTCTCACTTCTGTCTCTCTCTTTCTCCCAATCTCTCACGCCTCTATCCCTGCCTTCTAAACTCATCCCTAAAATCTCTCATGGAATCCATCTCAATCTCAAATTTTCTCCCACGTATCACTCTTTCACACCAATTCCTCTCTCATTTTCCCAAATATCTCCCCCTCTCTATCTCTCTCCCCTAACTTTCTCTCACCTGCCTCCTCTGTCGGTTAATCTCTCTCCTTCTTACTCTCACTCATATCATGTGCCACTTTCTCTTTGACGAAGCAGCTGGTGATAAGCAACGAAACACCCAACGACGGGTAATCTCCGAATCTTTATGTCTCTTTCTCCCTATAGAGGCTTCACTGGCACAAACAAAGTCCCTACCCAGCGACGGGTAATCTCCGAACCTATATGTCTCTCTCTCCCCACATTGGCTCCACTGGCACAAACAAAGTCCCATGGGTTCTATTTCTCAAATTTAATATTTGATTGTTCACTATTAAATATTTCCTGTGAAAGCTCATTTTTTTTTTACTATCCTGTTAGTTTCAAATTTGAATATTGATTTGACTATTCTTTGCTTTGGTGGATGTATGTATGGATTTATTGGAAGAGAAGCCAAAATAGTGCATAACCTATTGCTTGAATCAATTCACGTTTCTTGAAATTTGGGTCTTTTAGTTTTGGTATTTGGGGTTTCAATTTTGGGGATAGATTTTCAGTTTTTATTTCTCATTGCTATGTTCTGATAATTTGTTTTGGGTATGGATTACTATAGGCTTGCTTGCTACAACGAGAAGCCCAATATCACCTCTTGCGCGATTCATACTGCTAGGAGACTGGTGCTTCTTGGTGAATCAAGAACGAAGTTCAACAATTGTTTTTAGTACCTCTATAGGTTGCAATACCTCATCAACTTTTCCAAATGATTTTTATTACTTTCACATATATTCACATAAATGATTTTATTGAAGATTATGGCGATGAACTCTGGATATGGGGCATCTTTACTCACCATCATGCTCGACAAGCTATAGCGCAATTCTTTTAATGCGAAGCTTTTTTCAAGTTCTTTTATCTGGCCTTCATATCACTGTAAGAAATCTGCTCAATGTGATGCTTTCAATTCGACATGGTGAATTTGACATT